GCTATGGAACACAGGCCTTAACAGTGATGAGCTGGACATCTAGTTCATCTTCTGCCAGCAGAAGAAACACCTAGGCAGCATGGCTACTTTTGTTTTGTTTGAGACAGGGTTGCATTACATAGCCCAGGCTGGCCTGGTACTCATGATCTTCCTGCCTCAGCCTCTCAAGTGCTGGGATTACAAGCATGCACCACCATGCCCACTTTATCACCATGTATTCCGTGAGATGTGAGAGGAAAGGAATGACCTAAAAGCAGAACTTTTTAAAAGGGAAGCAGATCTAAAGATTTTAGAAAACACACAGCCTAGTTATATACATAGTGAAACATGTGCAAGAGCGAAGTCAAGCAACCATTTGCTAGAGATCAGCACGGAGAAAAGGGAGCCCGGTGCTATTCACCATACAATGGCAAAAAGAATGTAGACATTTCAGAGATCTTGAAAGTTGCCCCCCATCACAGGCTCAGAATATTAGGGTCTAGAAGAAAGAAAGTGATCACTGCCCAGAGCCACATCAGGCCTCTGCTTCCTGCAGCTTCAAGATAGCTATACTGCAGCTCCAGAGGTCACCAGCAAAGTCTAGCAGTCTATATACTGCAGGCACGTAGAACCAAGAGCTGTGGAGGCATGGCGAACTGCCTGTGGGGGCAAAGGTCCTACAGAGAACTCCCACTGAAGCCATGCCTAATGAAGCAGCTGCCATGATCCCGAACAGCAGAGCCACTGTCATTTGTATCAGCATGGTAACACTGCAGGCACTAGTGTACAACCCCAACCCAGGAACGTGAAGCATGGACCAAGCCCACTGAAGCCACAGAGGTGGGGCTCCCCAACGTTTTGGAAGCCCAGTAGGTGATACATGGAACTATTATGGAATCATTATTATTATCATGGAATCTTAAAACTTAAATGTCTAGCCTCTTGGATTTTGGATTTGCTTAAGGCCTGTTAGCTACTTCTCCCTTCTGGTGGTACTAGAGTTTGAACTCAGGGCCTCAGGCGTGCTAGGCAGGTGCTCTACCTATTTTTTCTGTTTGGGAATGGGAATGATGACCCTGTGCTTGTCTCAACACTATTATTTTGGAAGTGGACAGCTTATCTTCATGTCACAGGCTCACAAATGAAACTGGACTTTTGCCTTGGTGCTGGACCAAGTTAAGACTTTGGGGATTTGCTGGAACAGAATAATTGCATCTTCTATTGCAAGGACATGACTTTTAGGTGGCCAGGAGTGGAGCTATGGTTTGAATATGGTTCATTCCCTCTGAAACTCCAGTTGAACTTTGACTGCCATTGTGGCAGGGCTTTTAAAAGACAACTAGGTCACAACGCCCTTCTGTAGGAAAGGTTTAGTGTTCATGAGAGCAGGTTGTTATAAAGTGAGGCTGCTCCTCATGCTGTCTCTTGCAGTAACTACTCACTTCCCTTTTCACCTTCCACCATGTTATGATCCTCTTGCCAAATGCTGCATGGAATTCCCAGCCTCCAGACCTTGAGCCAAAATAAATCTTTCTCCTTTATAAATTACGCAGCCTCTGGTATATTGTTAGAGCAACAGAAAATGGACAATAGATGCAAAAGTATGGAGGGGGGCTCACAAAGGATACACTACAAAATGGTAAGAATGGGTAATTTGTTTCCTATGTTGTACTGTCTCCTGTGTTTTCTACATTTTTGTATAACTAAATGTATTATTTGATATAACAGAAAAAAATTAATAGTACAACATGTATCCTTCTGTGACTCCCTCACTGCTTACATTTAAAAGTCCCACATTCTTTGCCATGCACTCAAAGACCTCTATGGCCTTATTTAACTTGCTTTAAGGACCACATCTTTCTAACTTAAACCTCATGACTTAGCTAAAATAACCAACCACTAAACTTCACGTCAATCTCTGTTTTCCCCTTCTCTCCTTCCTATCATACCCTATTCCCTGTTTTTATTACACTTCCACCTGTTCAAATCCATCAACCCCTCAAGGCTCTAATGCAATCATAAATGGAAAAAAAAAGTTTGCTCTGATTTTCAAGTCTCTCCATTAAAAGCCCTGCTCTTCCAGTTAGTGATTTGGGGCACAGATGACCATAGCCGCTGAAATTCAAAAGTCTTAACTTCAAATGGCAGTAAATAACAGAAGAGAAAACAAGTAAAAGTGCCTAGCACGATGTACTACTTGCTTCCATCTTATTTGTAACAGACATGTGTGGCTCCAATTTGCAGCAGTTATTTAAAAAAAAGTAATTTTTACTTGCAGTGTTCTTTCTGGAACACAAACAAGGGCTACAGAACTATAGAATATTAATCAAGGATCAGCCTCAGAACTCAATTATCACATTTTCTCAGTCTCCTTTGAGGGCTTTTCTCTACCTCCCCTTACACAGCAGTTCTACCCTTGGTTCATATTTTTTTCCCCCTTCACTTTTTGTACAAACCACCAGGATTTCTATCTACAACCACAGCTTTTTCTATCATTCATAAATTCAATCCTCAAAATCCTATTTCCAACTTAGATGTCTTCTTGTATGTCAAGACTGCCTACCAGTCGGGCACCAGTGGCTCATGCCTGTAACCCTAGCTACTTAGGAGGCAGAGATCGCAGTTTGAAGCCAGCCCTGGGCAAGCAGTTCAAGAGACCTATCTCGAAACTACCCAACATACACAAAAAAAGGCTGGTGGAGTGGCTCAAGTGGTTGTGCCTGCCTAGCAAGCATTCATTCGAGTTCAAACCCCGCCAAAAAAAACAAACAAAACAAAAAAGACTGGCTACTAAATGTCTTACCTGGATGTCTTCCAAGAAACCCAACTTGAGATACTAAAATAAATTTATCTTTCTCATCAAACTTGCTCGTTTTCCTACTTTTCCGATGGCACCATTAAGAAACCTGAAAGACATTCTATGTTCTCTTTTATCCTTTTTTCTCCGAATTGAAGTCTTGCAATCCAAAAGTCCACCAGCATTCCAAACATGCCAGGCACATCATGCCTTAGTGCTTCTGAACACATTATTTATTCTAACTAGAAAATCTTCCATTCCTTCCTTGCTTGACTGACTTTTCTTATCCTTTAGAGTAAGCTCACGGTGGCCCAAATAATGTATACACATGTAAGTAAATGCAAAAACAATAAAATAAAATAAAAAAGAATTAAGACCGAGAATTTTCTCCTCTAGAAAACAAAAGATAACTAGCATTTATTAAACACATACTGTATTCTAATTACTGTGCAAAAACTTTGCATGAATTTTCTAATACTCTAAATGCACTTAAGTACTATTATGTTTTTATATGTAGAGAAGGTTAAGAAGTAACTCATGGGAGATCATATGTAATCATTTTGATCCTCCCAATCTCAGCCTCCCAAGTAGCTAGGATAATAGGCCTGGGGATTACTTATGTTTTGAGACAGGGTCTCACTAACTACCCAGGCTGGCCTCAAATTTGTGATTCTTCTGCCTCCATCTCCTGGGTGCTGGATTACATGATTACACCTGGCCAAACCTCTTGATTAGTTAGGAACCTCTCCTCTAGCTATCAAAGAAAGGACTTCTTTATGTGTGGCAAATAAATCTTTATTGTTTGGTTTCAAACATTTTTGAAAAAAGTCTATGAGCAACTCAAAGACAAGGCATGTTTCATTTATGGGTTTCCCTGTCTCCAAGAGAATGCCTGGCACATGGGAGGCCTTCTCCCTCCTCCCCACAATGTCAGAAGCTACCTCTTTCAACTCCCCAAGCCCCACAATACTACATTTCTCTTAGAACGTGTCTTATTTACTCCACCGGACTATGCTCTTTGATGGCAAAGGATAGTTTTTTAAACTCTTTATGCATATAACTTTCCCTGTATTAATTGTTCAACAACTAAGTAATAAATGTACCCATGATTGAAATAACTGTTGTTTAAATCCCTTCCCCCTTTCTTTTTGTGGGGCTTCACCTTGTGCCATCCCCCACCAGTCCTGTGTTGGATTTTTTTGAGATAGGGTCTCACGAACTATTTGCCGGGGCTGGCTTGGGACCGCGATCCTCTTGATCTCTGCCTTCTGAGTTGCCAGGATTATAGACACGAGCTACTGTGTCTGGATCACCCCCTCTTTTTTTTTGCAGGGTTGGGCATAGAACCTGGGCATTGGCAGGCTAGGCAAGAACTCTACCGCTGAGATGTACTTTCAACCCCACCTGTTTTCTTTGTTTTTGGGGTTTTTTTTTTTTTTGAGGGGGGCGGGTGGACGGGAAGAGTACCAAAGTTTGAACTCAGGGCTTTGCGCTTTCGAGGCAGGAGCTCTATTGCTTGAGCCATTCCTTCAGCCGTCTGTTCTCATTTCTAGTGTATAAATCTCTCCACCACGATTAAACACTAGCCCCACGACTAACAAACTACGGCTTCCCAAACCATAAAAGCCTTTTTGACTAATTTATCATATTTCCCGATGTTAGGAACTTTGGGAAAAGCAAATTCGGATTAGCAAAGCGTTTCTGGTATCTTAAGAGAGTTAATCTAGTTAATGACTGACTACCGAACCAAAACAGGTTAGAACACTAGAGTGTCAGAGTATGTGAGTCACGTGGCTCTGCGGTGTCGCCAATTGTTCAACGTGTTTTCAGGGTCACGTTAACAGACCATACTACCAGCTTACTAACTAATCCGGAATTTCTCACTGGCTACCCATGCCCAACCATATTCTGTTTAGGGTGCTGAGGAAAGGTGGGGAAAAGACGACCTTTGTCCCCTCAGACCTGGGCATCCTCAAAGATTCGGGCTCCGGGCTTTCCCCTCCCCTAGCTCATCCAACACCCCAGGGGGCGTGGCTCTCACCTACCCACCCGCCTACTCTCTCCCTAGGGGCTCGGCCAGCTTCTCCAAGGACCCTCCCCTCGCTGGGCGGTCACGCACATGTGGGACTGGAGTAAAAGCACAAGCCCAGGACACTCCCACACCCATTTCTCGCTCCGACTCCCGACCCGCAGAGTGCCCTCCTCGGCGCTCTCAACTCCTTACCTGCTCGGCCGACACCGCCCCCTTGCCCGCGCCACTCCCGCTGCTCTTGCCGACGCGACCGCTGCTCTCCGCCATCTTCGCCGCCTGCAGGGTTTCCGGCTTGCGCGGCCTGACCCCTCGCTGCGTCACGTCCGGTCCCTGAATCACCGCCCCCTCCCCCTGAGCTGCTGCTTCTCTGCGGCTCCTCGGATCCGATCCTGCGGGGTGGTTTTGGTTGTACCTTCATGTAGGACCTGCTCCCTATTCCGCCCGCTGCGGTGAACTCCACCTGCGGTGCTTTAATTTGTGCAACCGAGATCGCCACCCTAGGGAGAAGCCGGGGGTGGGGGGGGCGAGGAGCGAGGGACTAACCCGGGAGAGGAGAGGGAGGGGCGCAGGTTGGGATCTGGTCTTGTGCCCTCTGTCCACATCGGGGCGGGGGACCTACGAAGGAGGGCGAACTCCCCCTCGGAGATTCTGGTGGAAGGTGGGAAATATTCGTTGAGTCAATTAAACTGTGCAAGTTCACAGCCGAGGAGAGAGGTTTGGAGAAACGAGGAAGGTTTCCCAATGACTTTTGAACTGCGGAAACGTTTGACAGAGGAAAAGGGCTTCAGTTTAACGTGAGATTGCTGGAAGTTGAGGTCATAGTCCCGTTTTCCACCTTCCACTTTATGATCTCTTTCCAAGACCGTAAATACTTGCAGTAAGAAGTGTTTCTGAAGCCTTGGGGGTCGGGGATCCCGGGCAGGGTACAACATGAAGAGAGATGACAGAGAATCCTAGAAATTTATTGCTTAAAGGAGTGTTTGGTATACCGATTTCTCACCTTCCTCAGGCTGGGCTTCATCACCAAGCCTTCTCACCAGCTTCTGTCCCTTCTGTGCCCTGGACTCCGGATACCACGACTCTCAGTACTGTGTGCTCAACCCAGGTAACGTGTTTTGTTGCGTCCTCAGTGCTTGCCACATAGTAGATGCTCAGTGTTGACTGGGTGGTGGGAAACACAAAGGTGTCAGCCATCCACAAAACAGTTGATTAATGAGTCCACTAACCCTGGGTTAGCGTGCTCTGTAAGAGCAGAATGAAAAGGCAGTCCTGCTTCCCCACTTGAGCCCCAGTCATTAAATTTGGGTTGTTCCATGCTAAGAAATCTGAGAATGCTACCTGTGCTATTCACAGACCCAGAGCCATGGCTAGCTCTTCTTCCTCCTGGGAGCTGCCCCTGGTGGCTGTGTGCCAACTAACATCGACACCAGACAAGCAACAGAACTTTAAAACGTGTGCTGAGCTGGTTCGAGAAGCTGCCAGATTGGGTGCTTGCCTAGCTTTCCTGCCCGAGGCATTTGACTTCATTGCACGAGACCCTGCAGAGACACTTCGCCTTTCGGAGCCACTGGGTGGGGACCTTTTCAGAGAATATAGCCAGCTTGCCAGGTACCAGAAGTTGGGGGTAGGGGGGTGGGGAGAGGTAGAATCTTTGCTTGGCAGTGTTCCTGGATTGCCAGATGTAAGAGTAGAGCCTTGAGAAGAATTGTCAGTGTCCCCTTCCACCAGGGAATGTGGACTCTGGCTGTCCTTGGGTGGTTTCCATGAGCGTGGCCAAGACTGGGAGCAACAAAGAAAATCTACAATTGTCATGTGCTTCTGAACAATAAGGGTGAGACTTCGTTTTAGCCTTCCTCTAAACTTAAGATCCCCAAAATTGTTTTCTCAACTGGCCCAAGGTTTTAGGGTTTTTTGTTTTGTTGTTTTTTTAACTTCTTAGTCTATAATCATCTTGGGAAAAGAAACAAGCAGAACTTCTAGAGCACTAGCACCGAGTATTTTTTCTCCCTCTTATTCTAGGATCAATAATGGCCACTTACAGGAAGACACATCTGTGTGATGTAGAGCTTCCAGGACAGGGGCCTATGCGTGAAAGCAACTCTACCATGCCAGGGCCCAGTCTTGAGTCACCTGTCAGCACACCAGCAGGCAAGGTGGGAGTTGGAAGAGGATGAAAGTGGGAGAAGAGGGGAGCAGGAATACACTGAAGTTGGCAATAGATAGAAAACCCTCAGGAGTGGAGTAATGGAGGTACTAGATGCTGAGGCAAGCATAACAGGGAAGTTAAGTAGATGGTTTTTCATTTCAGATCGGTCTAGCTATCTGCTATGATATACGGTTCCCTGAACTCTCTCTGGCACTGGCTCAAGCTGGAGCAGAAATACTTACCTATCCTTCAGCTTTTGGATCTGTCACAGGCCCAGCCCACTGGGAGGTAAGAGAGTATCTCTTCAAAACATGAGGACCTTTTTCAACTTCATTCTCCTCCCTCAGCCTGACCAGTTGAAAATGTTTCCTCCCCTTCCCACCTAGTGGGAAAATTCATTCCCCAAACAGTTATCACTCATTTTCCTAAGCAATTATCAGAATGGTCACATGGGTTGTAATGCCTATTTCCTGTCACTTCCCCAGTAGCTAGTACATATACTGGAGTGAACACACATCTCATCCTCAGGTGTTGCTGCGGGCCCGTGCCATTGAAACCCAGTGCTATGTGGTGGCACCAGCACAGTGTGGACGCCACCATGAGACAAGAGCAAGTTATGGCCACAGCATGGTGGTGGACCCCTGGGGAACAGTGGTAGCCCACTGCTCTGAGGGGGAAGGCCTCTGCCTTGCCCGAATCGACCTCAACTATCTTCGACAGATTCGCCAACACCTGCCTGTGTTCCAACACCGCAGGCCTGACCTCTATGGCAATCTGAGTCACCCACTGTCTTAAGGTTTTAACTTCTATGAGTTGAGACCTCCACTGTAAGGAGGCTGTGATTTGCAGGCAGGACCCAAGCACAGCTCCCTCACTTGGAGAACCTTAAGCTCTCTTGATGGATCACAGGCTCAACTTGAAAAAAACAGAAATTTGACCTGAGCTCAGATTTCAATTTCAGAAAAGTGGAATTTTATATAGTCGCTGTTTATTTCATGAAAACTGAAGTTACGCTGAGGGCTAAACAGCACTGGCATTGAAAAAAATATAATCATAATGTCTGCGTCTGGACATCTCCTTTGGGAGCTGCAAGGGGAGGTGGTATTGTACCTGCTGGACTAGATTCCAGTTTTAGGTCTCCTGGCTCATTCAACATGCCTCCCTACCTAAAAAAAAGTGCAACACTCAGTGCATGTCCTAGCCCCATTCTCCCAAGCATAGAAGTGGGAGTAGGGGTAGAGGAGGGGGAAGGAAAAAGGAGTTAGAGTTGATACTGAATTAACTCATTTTCTCTTAAGGTGCCCTTTGCCCAAGCCAGAAGAAAGCAAAGGGGAAAAGGGCTGCAGGGTAGGTTATTTATTTTCACTTGACCATGAAAGGAAAGTGTCACACTCCCCCTTCCCCTTTTCAGGGGGAGTGTATTTTAATCAGCAGCTTCTACTCCATCTACTGTATATGGGTGTACACACACCCATCACAGTTGGGAGGGGTTATTAGTCTGACCCAATCCTCTTATCCATTAACTCCCTTGAAGAGGGCTTGATAGAGGGGAAAAAGGAAGGGGCCATACCAGGCAGCAGTTTCAAGCCATGGAACGGAGGAAAGAAGGCAGAGAGGAGCAGCACCAGAGGCCAGGAGAGAGTGGAAAGGGCCACAGCTTTTTTTCTTTTTTTTTTTTGTTTTTTTTTGGTTTTTTTTTTGTTTTGTTTTTTTAAAAACTTCTATAATTTGGATGAGGATGGTGATTAATTTCCAAAATACACTTCAGAGTCCCACCTTCCACATAGCTCCCTTACTCACAGCCCTTTGGTTTTTCAGACGAAGTTTAAGAGCCCTCATAAAGCCAGAAGTATTGATAACCCCTCGATGCACCCAAAAGCAGTGTTCACTTCAATCCCTTCCAAAGACTATGTTCTATAGACTTTGCTTCTCCCTATACATTTGTCTTACGGCTCAGTGGTAAGGTGGCTGTAGAGACACACATCAGGGGTAAGTGGAAACAAAGGGGAAGCCCAGGCACATGGGTGCAGGTAGGGGTGGGGGAACACCACTTCCACTTTCCTCTGTCTTTTCCTTTAAAAAAAAAAAAAAAAAGGCAAGGGTGTGATTGGTTGGAAGGGTAGAGAACAAACCCCAGAACAGTATATAAGCTCCAGAGGTGGGTGATGGGAACAGTTCCCAGAGAGGTGAGAAGGGAGAAAAGGTCAGGGCAATGCTTGCAGCATCAAGTTCCTCAGGAGTTTCTGTCGGCCCAGCTCATAGTCCTCCTCGTCCACATTCACCAGCAGCTTGATGGCTTCATGACCCACAGCTTGCTTGAGGGAGTCTGTAATGAAGACACCTTTAAGTGCCTCTAGTAATGAGCCATTGATGTAGTCGCGCCAGAATGCGTCGAGGTAGGTGAGCTCAGAGAACTTGATGTCACAGATGATGGAGCCCAGGTCCCGGGACTTGAGAATGGTGTTGGCCTGGTTAAAGCGCTCAAACTGGCGCTCAAGTGGGTCCTGCTTGTTAGAGAAGACATTGCCCTGCAGAGCAGTCTCGTGCTGGCAGTATTCAGCCCGAACCCGCAGTCTGATGTCTGTGGGAAAGAAAATGGGAGCATAAGCAGTTACAATGAAGAATGAGTTTACAACCCGTTTGAAAAGCTGAAAAGAACAGCAAAGTATCAACATAAAGAACATTACCTGACAGCTTCTCTACCTGTTCCCCAGGACTACCCCTTCTCTATGTTTCTGAAATCCTTGCCTGAATATAGAGGTTCCCTTGAATGGGACATATCCAGATCACATTATACCTATTACTCACAAGCAGCACCTTGCTTATAGGAAATTATTTTCCTAATTAACATGCACAGAAGTTCATTTTAATACTCTTATCTTGACTTGGTTCATACTAGAATAAGGTGTCATATTGGCATGCCTTTGATCTAGTGTTAACTAAAAAAAGTTGAAATACAAAGAAATATTTCTCCCAGAGACTAAACCATTCAACCTCACTTTGCAACAGCAATCAAAGAGTCTTGTACTAAATAGTTTTGCCTGTCTGGATTCCCAGCAGTTCTTTATATTTCCCCTCAAGTCTACACCTCTAGCACCCTTGAACTTCCTCACCACATGTCTGCTTTTCCTTGGGATCTGGTGTCACTGACTTCCGGCGTTTTCGCTGGCTCCCAAGTGTGGCTCTCCCTCGAGCTGGCCTCTTGCTACACATCTGAGGACCCGAAGTGGGGCAGCACACCACAGGATAGTGGGGAGGCACTGACCAGAAGGTAAAATTGAAGAAAACACAGTAAAGACAGGAATTCAAATATTTCTCTTAGATTGTAGAAGGAATCATTTACACTTAGCTCTAAAAATACTATCAATAATGTGACCTGAGGGCTGGGGTATAGCTCAGTGAAGAACAGTGCTTGCCTAGCATTCATAAGAAACCTGGGTTTGATCCCAGCACTGCAGAAACAAACAGAAAAACACTATGCTGAGTATGCTGGCACTCACCTGTAAACCCAGCACTTTCAGAGGCTCAAGCAGGAGGATTGCAAGTTCAAGGCCAGCCTGAGCTACATAGCAAGACATCTCAAAAAAACAAAAAAATTACAATAATGGGCTGGGTGCATTGGCTCAAGTAGCAAAACGTCTGCCTGGCACGCTCAATGCAGGTTTCAAACTCCATACCACCAAAACATAAATAAGTAAATAAAAATAATGTGATCTGAAGGGAAGATACAACATGAGAACAAACGTAGGACCTAAATGAAGCATTGATGCCTCACCTGATGTTTTATAAGGTAGATATGAGGGACAGAATACTTTCATTTAAGCTGGAAAAGGCAGAAATGTGATGGAATCAGTGGAAATTAGAAATAGTATCTTACCTGTTTTAGAGGGTTGCGGAGACCTCGGTTCCGGATCACTGAGGGCTCTGGGGGTCACATAGCGAATTGATGTCTCCTCCAGATACTTGTCTACAAGATCAGGGCACACTGTAGGAGAAGGAAGAGTCATTCAGGAAAAAATACACACCTTCCTTCTTCCAATGGGCCTCACAATTTATTCTCCAAGGTACTCCCCAGGGCCAAGGCCTCCTCCCTCTTGGACTCTTATGCTGCTCACTTGTGGCCTCCCACAACTCTTCTCCGATTCAAGTGTTCCCAGCCCCCAGTAAACCCTCACCAGCCCGTCTCCTCTTGAGGGTGACGTAGGGCAGCAGGTCATGTCGAGTGATGATGCGCAACAGCTGCAGCACCTGGCGAAAGTTACTCTCGTCACAGCGGCCCTGGCGCTCCAATGCCAGTAAGAAGTCACGTCCATTTCGGATGAGTCCACGCTCGTGGTCATCGATGACATCAACAAAGAGAAAGGAAAGCACGCGCACATCTCTGTGTGTCAGGTGGGTGCCCACGATGTCAAACATGCGGTGCAGGCTATAGAGCCCATGCTCCTGCTCACCATGCTCTTCTGGCCATACTTGGTTTGCCCTCCGCTTTAGGCCCGCCATGCTGGGGGCTCAGGAATGCAAAGCCTTCCAGAATCCCTGCTCAGCAGCTGTAATCCCCAATGTACTGTAAGGACAGAACGAGAACCTGTGAGCCATTCAATAGCAGGGACTGGTGTTACCATCCCTATATTCCAAACATGATGACTGATACAGCGTATTGCTTAATGCATGCTTATTAAGTATTTTAAAGTATGTATTAAAAAATAAACCCTAAGCTGGATGCCAGTGGCTCATGCCTGTAATCTAACTACTTGAGAAGCTGAGATCGGGAGGATTGAGGTTCGAGGCCAAGCCCTAGCAAATAGTTCGAGAGACTCCAAAATAACTGGAGCAAAAGGAACTGGAGGTGTATCTTAAGCAATAGAGCACCTATTTTGTGAGCATAAAGCCCTGAGTTCAAACCCCAGTCCAACCAAAAAAAAAAACAAAACAAAAACCTAGAGCTTACCATAGCCAACAAATGATGCCCTAAGTCCAGATCTTACTGGGGAAATACAGTCACTTCCCCTAAATGAGAATGTTGTATGCAATTTTAGTACTCCATATTCAGCAAAAGTTGGTATTATTTACTACCCAGTTGTTCCTCTTTCCCCCAAAACACTGCTGTTGTACTTGAAAACTGCTTTCCCCCCTCTCCAAACAGTCCATTTTTTTTTAAATAAAGGCAAGACTGAGAAGTAGAGAATTTGCTCTTTAATATAGAAGCTGCATCAGATGAACTTAGGGACTGACAATAGGAAAACTCAAAATGTTTCAAACTAGTTCAAGTTCTAATTGCATTAACAGGCTATATAGCTGTGACTTTATGAAAGACATTTAACTGCAAAGTCTTAGCACCCTCATCTATAAAACCAATGAAAACATCTATTCCTCAGAGTTGTGAAGAATCCAATGAGAAAAAAAATGCAAAATCACTATAAACCTTATATAAATGGTCATGAAAAATATTTCAATGGTAAAAACATCTTTGACCTTTGTAGTCCAGACTCAACCCTCTACAAACCTACTCATTTTCTTACAATCCAACCAATTCCAGAAACAACTGCTCGGAAAGCTAATCAATATTCAACAAAAATTGTGGGTTTAAATTAACAAACATTTATTAAATTCCTACACTGAGCATTCTTGTAATTCTATGCTATACTCCCTTGATCTTCACATCATTTGGATACCAACTTCTAGCTCTCATTGATGTCATTTACCAAATCCCTGCTAAAGACCAATCACAGTTCTATGTTCATTTTATAATTTGGCATTTGATTCACAAAGTTCCTCCATCATCTTATGTAATGTCAGTGACCCAAGAACTAACCAATTGTCCAGTCTTAACTTTTACTCCCACTCTAGTCATACCTACTGTCTGGCCAGATATAACACCCAACTGTGTTTTACTCCCTGATCACAACCCCCAATCAGACGATCAATTCTAAATTCCTATGGATGCAACTTCTAAGTTAAATATTTCTTAAATTTCCTTCACTTTTTCACCTCTACTACCAACCACCATGGCTCAGATTCCAATAACTGCTCACTTTCACAAGGACTACTACACTGCCTCTTTTAAGAATTCTCCCAACCACATTTTTTTTTTTGAGACAGGGTCTGGCTATATAGTTCAGACTGGTCTTGACCTTTCAATTCTCCTGCCTCAGCCTCCAGCATTCTGGGATTATAGGTGGTGTACCACCACCAATCTTAATCCAACCAAATCCATTGCTCACAATTGTTAACGATCTAAAATGCACATTTGAGTTGGAGATGAAAAGTGCACAAGTAGGGTTGGAGATGCAGCTCAGTGGTAGAGCACTTTCCTAGTGTACACAAGACTGTGATTTTACTCCCTGGCACCATCAAAAATAAAATGCACAACTGACCACATCACTTTCCTGCTTAAGATCCATCTACAGCCCCCTCCTTATCTATAAGAACACTCCTAATATCTTACTGCACACCAAGTCTTCCAAGCCATCAGGTCTACCTTTTTTTTTTTTTTTTTTGCGTTACTGGAGCTTGAACTCAGGGCCTTCACCTTGAGCCACTCTGCCAGCCCTTTCTGTGATGGATATTTTCCAGATAGTGTCTCACAAACTATTTGCCCAGGCTGGCTTTGAACCACGACCCTCCTGATGTCTGTCTCCTGAGTAGCTACGATTACAAACATGAGCCACCAGCGCCCAGCTCAGGTCTACTTTTCTAACCTCATCTCCCACCACATTCTACTTTTTATTCTTTAACATTATCAGTTTTATTTTACATTACCAGTTTGTTTATAGTTCACATACATCAAACAATTTATTTCTCTACACCTTTCTTTGGGCATTCTTCGCCTGAATGCCCCTCTCCCTTCTCTATTCACACCCCCATAACCACCCTTTTTCAGATGGCTAACTCCTACTCATCCTGCAAGTCAGCTCAGATGCCATCTTTAAAATGCATTCTGTACACCCCCAGGCTAGGTTAAGAAGTCCTTTTTTGTGCTCTTAAGAAACACTCTGCATATTGCCTTTATGTCAGTGTACTAAAATTATTTGTGTATTTATTATCCCATTAGGTCCTACACGATTCATGGACAGAGACTAAGTAAAATTTACGTTTCTAGTGCCTAGTAAAGAACAGCACCTAGCATTTGTAGGTACAACCTATTGTTGCCCTGAATTTTACCTCCAAGAGATCACTCATCACAAGCAATACAATTAAGAAACAAACTCATGAAAATCCCAGAATGAGAGGGCCCTGTTAAAAATAATCACATGTGTACATGGCTCAAGTACCTACCTGCCTAACAAGTATGAGGCCAAAAGGTAGTTATCTAAGTAAATAAACATATATGTTGGTTCCAGTCACTCACACTTGTAATCCTAGCTACTCATAATCCTAGCTACTCAGGACACAAAGATCAGGAGAATTGAGGTTTGAGACCCCTCCCCTCCAAAATCTCAACAAGTAAAGCTCTGGGCATGTGGCATGTCCCTGCCCAAGCATAAATCATGGATCATGGCCCAGGCAAAAATGCAAGACCCTAACCCACAAATAACTAAAGCAAAAAGGGCTGAGATGTGGCTCAAGTGATAGAGCATATGCCTAGCAAGTGTGAGAGCCTGAGTTCAAACCCCAGTACCACCAAAAATAAAAAGACACATGTAACTGAGTTATCAAACATGTATTCTGGCTAGCCAGAGCTGTCTCTGTACCTAAAGAACTATTCATTAAACCAAGATGGAAGCATTTATCCCCTTAAAAATGGGGAAAATTCACCCTGGAATCACTTAACCCTAGATCATAGTTTCTAATATGTGCAAAGAAAATATAACCCATGTATTGAGAGTCCAGATACCCAACTCAAACCATGGGAAACAGCTGGGAAAATAGCTCTTCAACTACAGACTGGTTTTCCCTGTCTCTTCCTCTCTCGTTTCACCTGCTGCTGTCACTGGTTACAAATGGAAGTCCTGAAGGAAAATAACTTATTGCTCATAGAAAGCAACAGGAGAAAACTGAGCCTCCTTACATCCCCTGCAACTTCTGTGTTTCCTATCCCACCTGTTCCCTTTAGCCAGCTGTTGATAATGAGATCACAAAGCAGATGGGCAGGTTTCACATCCAACCAATCAGAAGAGCAGGATGTTCCATAATTCCCTAATTCAAAGTGTCCTTAAATCCCAGGAAATGAAGAAACCATCCCCACATACTTTGTCACTAGAAAATGAGGCAAAATACAGGAAAATACTATAATCCTAATTAGGTATCAATGACTGTAATGCTATAATAAGCCTCAATCCTCTGAGGGGTAACACTACATTGTCAAGGTGGGAAATATCCACTTTTAAGTCGTAGGTTCTAGGCTGAATCATTCAAGGTACTATGTATTATCAGAGCTTTTAGGTAAAAAGGGCAAATTTGCCCCTGAAGTGACATTTGGCAATGTCTGGAAACATTTCTTGTTGACATTCCTGTGGGTAGGAGGTTCTACTAGCAAGTAATGAGGCTGGGGATGCTGCTAAACATCCTAAAATGCAAAGGAAATCCCCCACAACAAAGAATTATCTGGCCCAAAAGGTCAATAATGCAGAAGATGAGAACCCTATTCTAGGTGGGGCATGATGAAGAGTCAAAAGAATGCATGTCTCTTTCCACATTAGATCTGTCAAAGGAAGGTATTAGGTACCTCCAACCCAAACCCACCAAACAGTATTCCAGAAGAAAAGAAAGGCCAGTCAGATATAGGCTCACTTAAACTCATATGTCCAACTAGCACAGAAGAGCTTCATCTCATCCCAACCTTGGCTCCTCTATCACCTGCAGCTGCCATTCAGGTGAACAGCAGGTGGGAGGAATACACTCCCTTCTGGTCCATCCCAGGAGGTCTACTCTGACCTAGTTCAATCTGCAGTTCTGTAGGATAAGAGAAATGCCATCCTCTTCAAGACAGACACACAGGATCCTGCTTAAGCCTCAGCTCCACCACACATTCCCCCCCGCCCCAGTACTGGGGATTGAATTCGGGTGCCTTGTGGGGCCTAAAACTAAACCAATAGCAGACCCTTCCTTGCTATGTCACTGATCAGACTAAAAATGCTTATTTGATGAAGCAAAAGAAGAAGTTTCCCAAGGCCATGTCCTTGAGAGAAATGTCAGGAGGCTGGTGTGCAGGCTAATAGGCAGCCCTCCCCACTTAATTATCATCTAGGATTGTGAGTAAACTCACTCAGCAACCCAGATCGAGGTTCTAGGAATCTAACTTCAGGACTAAAAGGACTGACCAACCTCCTTTTAAACCAAAATATATCAATTTTCTGTGGCATTGAAGCAAAGGAGCTCAGCTTAAAATACAGAGATCCTAGATGAAAGGTATTAGAGTGGTACAGAGAATGTTCTATAAACAGAAGATTCGAAAGAGCTTGAGTCTTGGTATCTCAAACACTGCCAGATATCAACAAACAATCCAGTAAATAGTGACTTGATCCCACTCGATGGTCTGGTTTTATTTGAGATACTAACATACGAGTTTCCCCATAGTAATTTTTTTTTTTTGGAGGGAAGCAGTACTGGGATTTGAATTCAGGACCTTGACTTGCTTCTATTTGAAGAGTGGAAGCAATTACTCTTCCAGCCCAGAAGAGTAATTTTTGATTCTCATGAACTGCTCTATTTCCTGGAATTCTAGTTTGTTTTGTTTTCCTTTAGGGAGGTCTAAGTTAGTCAAGGGCCAATGAGAGTGTATATGTAGGTGTCCACAGGATTTCCCCAATAGGTCATTCTCTGTTGGGTTTCCATGTCCAAGCAGCCTAGTCTCATCCCAACCAAAGATGATAACTGTAACTTTTTTTGAGGTACTCTTTCTCAGAAGCCCTGAAAGGAAGGACATATGGAAGAAATAAAAGTGAGAGTAATGTCTTGAAATTAAAATGGCAGTCTAGTTTCTTCCCAACAGGAATGTCTGTATTTCCACAGAAGAGCCAAAGATATTTGACTCTTTAAGAAGCCCTTAGAGGAAAGTCATGTGGAAGAACAAAAGAGAGTGATTATCTTGAAACTTGAAGTGAAAACTACATGAAAAATCTAAAAGATGGCTAAGCATACATAAAGAGCTTTCTTGCTGGTGGGTCTAGGAAAATATAACCAAATATCTGGAAGTCAAAGTTGCATGGTATGTTTTCAAAAAAAGACTTCAGGATCCCTAAACAGCTGAGAGTATAAGCTAAAGGGCAAGGAAGGTGCCTCAGCAACACTCCAAGGGCAACATTTTGTAGACAATGTACCAAAGTACAACTTTCCATATGTTAAAAATGTTTCACTGAGAACTGACCAAGAGCAGACAACAAACCAAAGCTGGGAGCTTGTCCCAAGACACCTAATTTCCCCTTTCTTCCCCGTCTGTCTCATTACCTGAAGAGACAGTGACTGGAACAGATCTTAAACTCCTTGGGTGAGTGAGTGAAAGCCCATTCTTCCCAGCATCTACCCCATTAAAGGGGGCTCAACTTCAATACATTTCTCCTCCATTTCCATTCCCTGCCATTGTTTGAAAACAGAAAGTTCCAGACTTACCTCTTCAAGAAACTTAATTTCCGAGGTCTCTTCCTAGCATCAATTTAAAAGTCAGAAGAAAAACAAAAACAAATTGGGGCTGGGGGAAGAGTCAAATTTCAAGTTTTATTTCAAAACTTCAAAGGCCCATAGTCAATCTCAGAGGCAAAAATTTAGAGAAGCTAAATCCATTACAATCAAAATGATCCATTCAAGCTAAAGATGAGAACTCACCCACAACAAAATGTCCAAGTTTCCTGACCTCTCTAAATCATTTCACAAAATAATATCAAGAATTTCCAGTCTCAATGGCTCATAGCAAGAAAGGTCCCAAATTCAACATCTTCTGGGAAAAACCATTGCCCTCCAACACCTTCTCAGATTCCTCAATTCCTTATTCCATCTATTTTGTTACAATATTAATTCTAACTTTCAGTATTAGAAGTAGGAGGAAAGTGGGTATAGCCAAAGAAGGCACTTTCTTCTCATCATTTCACTTATTAGACCAGAATTGCCCTACCTCCCTCTGTCTTCACCCTCTTTTAACTAAAACACAATGAGAGCAAAATATCTACTGGGATAGCACCCACTAACACATCTACGCTTCAGTAGAGAACTTTTTTGTATTGACCTCCTCCCTCCTACCACTTAAACAGCAAAAGAAAGGTCTGGAAACTAAAACACTCATTTAATTAGTCTGTCTAGATGTCAGCCTTTTCTGTTTTCCTCAGACTTCCAGAGCCTCCACCTGGAGCCCTCCACAAACAGGGCTCCAGTACAGCCATGTCACTTCTCCCATTTTTGTACTGCTAATTGCTAAAAACTAGAAAAGTCCTTTACTCCTCCACACTCGACAACAGCTTCCCTACTCTCCCTTTCGTAACCAGGAAAAACAAGGGAGCAGAAAGCTACAGAATCTTTTGGAAAGCAATTCCAGTTGAACCTTCATTCAACCCCAGTTCTCCAAACCCACATGACCATTCCCTTCTGCCCTTCCCACCCTATTAAAAGCTAAGGGCCTGGCAATTAGAATTGGTTGCAACTGATGCTGCTTAACTCTGCTTCTTCCTTTCCACCGGGGAAAGGGAAACCCCCCTATCCCCCGTTCCACTGTCTGATCTCTCATCCCATTCCCCTTCCTCCCAAACTTTCCTCCCAGTCTCTCACTTTCTCCATTGCCGGGTCACCCCGACACTCACTCCATTCCCCAAACCTTCGTTCTCTCCTCTTCTACCCAAATTCTTCTAGGCCTTCCCCCTCCCACTTCCAATTTTAACACTTCCAAAACCCCCCCTCCACAAAACGTCTCAAGTCTAAGTCTCACCTTCTGCCACCTTCTCAACACCCTCACAAGAGCCCAGTCCTCCCTCCAACCACATGCCACCAGCCCCTTCCCCTTCAGACCCTCGGCTTCTCCTTCCTGCCCCTACCCCTTTCAATCCGTCCGATCGCAGCCCCACTCCCCACCTCGGCCTCTCTTATACCCCTGGCCTGGCCCAGCCTGGGCCCTTGTTTACGCCCCTCCCCACGTCCCCACTCCTGCGCCCCGACCCCTGCCCTCTCCCACAGTTGCCATCTCCCCTGCACGCCCCCCTCAGCTGCTCCCTTCCCCCACCTCGCAGCGTCCCGTCACCTCCCTCTCTGGAGGTTCTCAGGCTGGACGTCGCCACCGCCTCCCCCTCCACTTTCCTTCCCCAAGCCCTTTGCGGCCCCGCCCGGCCCCGCCCCGTCCCGCTCGATTCCCCCTCCCCACTCCGGCCGCCCCGCCGCCTCACTCTCGGTTCAGGTTCGGCGCCGCCATGTTGGATCCATCCGCACCGCTCGCCCGGGCCTGTCTCACGGCGCCGCATCCGGGCTCCAGCCGCCGCCGCCGCCGCCGCGGGCGTGGGGGAGGGGAGAGGCGGGCGGGGGTGGCTGCATCCTGAACAGCGCCTCCCGGAACCTGGCCGGTTAGTGGCGGCTTCGAGACCATAGTGAGGCATGAGCCAGAGCAGCCATACTAAGTGAGGGCAGCCTGGCAGCGGCATTAAGCAGGGAGTGGATGGCTTCACTTCGTAAGGAGAGAATAGAGATTAGCGGCCATCTTGCTTTTGGGCAAGCTGGCAAAGCTGGTTTTTCTTAACGACAGCTTTGGGGCCGGTAGTAAGGAATGGGAGAGGGGTAGCATTCTTAAATTTTAGCATCGGTGGCACCAGAGCTGGCTGGTGTCGACTTCCAGATCCATTGAGAGACTGGGATTGGCGGAATAGCACGGGGGTGGGATTGGTTGGTGAACTTGGGTGAAGGTTCAAGATCTGGATTTGACCTTTGCTCTGAGCTTCCTGCTCACCCGGACGTTCCGTAAACCCGGACCCGGAGCAGAAAGCGCTGTTGTAGAGTCTGTATCGGAATTCATTTTTCAACATTTGAATTTTAAGCGTCCGCTTCCTGTAGGCAGTGTCACCTGAGCTGAATCGCGAAGGACTGTTGGGAATGGAATTGGGGCGGGCGGGGTGGATCTGGACTGCCCACTGCAGTGGTGTTAAAGAAAGAGGTAATACGTAAGGCCTGTGAGATAGGGAGGGACCAGATTACGCAAGGCTTTGTAAATTGATCTTATCCTAGGGGCACTAAACAGGTTTTGAAGGGTCTAAGCGGAGGTGCGAACAATTTATATTTTTGCATTCTAGAAAGATTACTTATTGCCCCGCGCAGACGTGTTGGCTCGGGCCTCTTAAGTCCAGTTACAGTTAGAGGCCGCTTGCTTGAGTTGGAGCCCACCTTGGGCTGGGCCGGGGCGGGGAGGGAAGGGGGTGGGGTTCGGATAACTAAATGGTAGAGTGCGTGCTTATATATGTGAGGCCTTGTATTCAGTCCCCAGAGAGGAAGAGTGAGTGCAATGTGTAGGATAAATTGGAAGGGACAAAGTTAGAGGTGAGGAGAAAAACTGTGCAGTTCTTATGCAGGGAAGAGAAGGCCCTGCCTATAGAAGGAGTGCACCTAGGGAGACAGATGGACTTAGGGGATATGAATATTCTGACTAGGACTACGGAGCAATCACTGATTCTGTTTTCTTTTTAGTTTTGAGGGAAGAGAATGAGTTTTAGTGCCATTGGAATATCCATTAGACAAATGAATATTAGATAGCTGGCGCCAGTGGCGCATGCCTGTAATCCTGTTTACTTGGGAGACTGAAAGCCAGAGATTCAAAACTACTTGTTCTAGCAAGTAGTTTTCAAGATGCCATCTCCAAAACCAGAGCAAAATGGACTGGAGCTGTAGCCCAAGTGGTAGAGTGCCTGCTTTTGCAAGTGTGAAGCCCTGAGTTCAAACCCCCAAACCCACAAAAAAAAAAAAAAAAAAGATAATGTGGGTTGGGAACCCTAAAGGTTCAAGGTGTGTTTGTGTGCAGCTGGATAGCTGTTGCAGCCATTGAATTGGGTAAGATAGTCTAGAGAGAAGCATAAATGGGATGGGATGAGAGACGGAAGCTGAAAAGAGGAAACTAAGAAGGGCCAACAGAAGGGAAGGAAGAAAACCTAGAGTAAAGTATCAAAGAGCCAGCACCATGGCTTATGCCTGTAATCCTAGCACTCGGGAGACAGAGATCAGGAGGATCGAGGTTGGAAACCAGCCTGGACAAATAGTTCACGAGACTATATCCAGCACAAAAAAGGGCTGGTGGAGTGACTCAAGTGGTAACAGTGTCTGCCCAGCAAGTGTGAGGCCCTGAGTTCAAACTACAATCCTGCCAAAAAAGTATCAAGGAAATTGGTCAATGTGTTTAAAGTAACAGATAAGTGGACTAAAATATGGCCATTGGATTTTGCAATAAGAAGGTCTCTTAGTAAATTTGGAGAAAACTGTTTCATGTATGAGACAGAAACCAGATTGAACTGGGAGAGCACAAGATAACTTTTTCATGGCATTGACTGTAGAAGCTATCTGTAGGTTGTTACATGGGGGAGAATTCCAAAGAAAGGAGTAACCTCTGGAATAGCTAGATGGAGATATTCTAATAGGAGCTGAATATACAGATCTAAAACCTAGGAGAAAAATACAGTAAGTGTAAAAGAGCAAGTGCAGGAAAATAGGATGCAAGGCATAGCATGGTGGTTTACACCTGTAGTCCCAGCTACTCAGGAGGCAGAGATCAGTGGGATTTTTTTTCTCTTTTGGTTGGACTGGGGCTTGAAGTCAGGGCTTCACCCTTGTGAAAGCAGGCACTCTACTGCTTTAGCTACACCTCCAGTCCATTTTCCTCTGGTTATTTTGGAGATGGGGGTCTCACAAACTAGTTGCCTGGATTGGCCTCAAACTGAGATCCTCCCAATCTCAGCCTCCCAAGAAGCTAGGATTACAGGCATGAGCCACCAGTGTCTGGGTCAGCGGCTTCTGGTTTGAGGCCAACACCAGAAAAAGTTATCAAGACCCCATTTCAAGAAGCAACCCAGACATGGTAGGGCACAATTATAATCCCAGCTACATGGGAGGCATACACAGGAAGATCCCTATCCAAGGCTGCTTGGGCAAAAGTGTCAGACCCTATCTGAAAAATAAACTAAAAAGCAAAAGGGTATGCCTTAAGTGGTAAAGTGGTTGCTGCGCAACTGCAAGGCCGGCCCTAAATTCAAAATAACCATTGAGCTCATGATGTAGCTCTGTTGTATAGTGCTTGCCTAGCATTCATGAGGCTCTGGGTTTGATCCACAACCTGAGGAAGTGCCCAAGTAGGACACAGGGATCAGAGTGAGCATGGAAGAGTCATAAGAATATCGTGACTGCTAATACGATATATTTTTTTTCCCTAAGCTTTTGGAACAGGAGGAGGGTTGAGAACTAGAATGGTGGAATGGTGGAAACAAGCACTTAGAAAGGGAGCTAAAGAGCACTGGGTTCAAGGTTCAAGTGAACAGGTGTGGGTGGGCAGAGAATGTGCTGAGAAGCAGAAAGCCATGGGCACTGGGGGAGAGTTGCAGGGGCCAGTCTTTGAAAGCTGGTGAGATGCTTTCTCCGTGAGGAAGAGAGGAAGGGATTACAGGAAGGGCTGTGCTGCACAGAGGACTTGAGGAACAGAATCTAGGAAGGTTCTTGATCTTCTTACAGCCAGTTCTGATTGCAAGGTGCTCCTGTTTCCACTGTCCCCTTCACATTACTTCTCAACTCCTGTAATTCCACTTACTAGTCCTGTGGATCAACAAGTCATAGCTGAATGATGTCAGCTCTGCAGATAGCTACTGTGTCTCAACTAATTTTTTTTTTTTCAGTACTGGGGCTTGAACTCAGGGTCTTCACCTTGAGACACTCCACCAGCCCTTTTTTGTGAGGGGGTATTTTTTTTTCTAGTTACATTAACAATTTTAATGCAAACATTTAATAAGGCATCTTTCCCATTCCTCCCAAAATTTCATCTATTTCTGCTGCTGTAGGCATAGGTGGCTTCACTCCATTCTGTCTTCTTTGGATCATGATAGAATTCCAGAATCTCTGACAATTTTTGTACCTGAAGAAGTAACTGGAATACCTTTCCCTGTCATAGTTATTTTCATCCATGCATCTGGTAGAAGCATCAGATTCCCTACCGACAAGCAAGGGTTTATATCAGGCTCTCTTAGTCATCGTGTCACCACAGGCATCCTATGTCTTCTTACTCGGGCCGCTGCTTCACCAGTGCCCAGGTCGTCCGGCTCCAAACACTGTGATATGGGTATTTTTGAGGTAGGGTCTCAAGAACTATTTGCCCAAGCTGGCTTCGAACTGCAATCCTTCTCATCTCTGCCTCCTGAGTAGCTAGGGTTACAGCCATGAGCCACTGGTGCCTGCCAACTAATATTTTTTGTTTGATTATTTGTTTTTGTTTTTTTGGGTGCTGTAAATAAACCCAGAGCCTTGTGCTTGTCCTAGCCTAGGCTGCTTTTAAGCTTTGCCAGAAGTAATGTTTTCACACCAAGCATTTCCTTGAAGAAGTCTATCAATTAGTCAATAAAAATCTATATCCAGGCTTGGGGTGTGGCTCAAGTGCAAAAGCAAGTGCACTTTTAATGCAAACACCTAATAAGAGAGCATTTGCTTAGCGTAGCCCAAAGGCTCTGGATTCTTTCCCCAGCACTACAAAAGAGATACTTAAAAATCTATATCCACTGGGTGCCAGTGGCTCACCTGTAATCCTAGCTACTTGGGAGACTGAGATGAGGAGGATCAAGATTCAAGGCCAGTCTAGGCAAACAGTTTGAGACCCCCCATCTCCAAAATAACCAGAACAAAATGGACTGGAGGTGTGACTCAAGCAGTAGAGCCCAGAGTTCAAACCCCAGTCCCACAAAAAAAAAAAAAAAAAAAAAAACTATATCCTGTTGGCAGCCTATTGTCACAATATGCTCATGACTCTTGCATACCCACTGTGATCCCTGTGTCCTACCTGAGCACTTTCCCAGTATTGGGGGTCAAATCCAGTGCCTCACACATGCTTTACCACTGAGCCACACCCCCAGTCCTGGGATTTACTCTTGAACTTTACCTTCCAGGAACTACTAACCTGCCATCCGGTGTAGTTCTTGGTTCCTCACTAACTCTAACCTGCTCCAGTTACTCATTTCACCCAGGCATCAACTGGCCTCTCCTCAGTTGAGCTTGAAGCCTTGTGGTGACTCCTGGCTCCTAAATAGTAGTGTAGGGACAACATTCACTTGCTGAATCCTAATTTGCTCTCCAAAAGTCTCCTCAACATGTACTCTTTTCATCCCCCAGCTCTGACCTAATATGACTGAGCAAATTCCTTAACTTTCTAAGCTTTTCTCATCTGTAAAAGGAGGAAAACTAACATCAACCTCATAGGTCACTGTTGTACTGATTATATTAAATAAGGTATGTGAAGTGGAAGCACAGGGTCTAGTGGTTGCTAAATAACTACCTAATATAAAGTTTCACCAGGTTATAGCAATTTGGCAGGTTCTTTAGCAATGACTCTGCTGCCCTAATGGGGATAGTGTTTTCCAACTCACTGGTTATTTTGAAGGACAAAAACAAAAAGCCCTGTTTCCCCAACAGCACCAGCTATCTAGAATTTAATTAATTTTCCTTTGATTGTTCAATTAAGTAAAAATGTCCTTAAATTCTAGCCCATTCTCAACATATAAAAAAAACTATCTGG